ACCAGCTGAGAAAAAAAGCGAGTCTCTGCTTCCTTGTGCTCGCTTCGTTCAATCCACAGCCGCACTTGCAGCAGGGACATGACAATATGATCAACTGCATGCTGATCAGCGGCCATCATCGTGAGCAGTTTATGAAAAGGCAAGATAGGTAAATGGATAGACAGAAACACAGCCGCGACCGAAAGGGACCCCCCCCAGGTGTCGCAGAGCAACCGGTTAGTTAGAGTCAATATACATAATGTTGTGCTTGCGCCAAGCGCTTCAAGCCTCCGCGACAATTGCGTTGTTTCATGCAGTTGACGTCTAGCTGGAATCCAGGGATGCTGGGTGCAGCGGCGAGGGAGTCGCTTTCTTGGTTGATCAGTGTGGGTCCCAAACGTTTCGAGGATTGAGGACGGGCCCCCAGGAGTTCTGTCGAAAGTCTATGGGGTTCTTCCCGGATACACGGAGACCATGGGGAGGCCGAATTCCGAATTCCGAATTTTCCCATCACGCCACGGGTAGGGCGCCAAAGCTGCGTCAAGCACTTCAACAAGCTATGCTCCGGCGCTTGTCTGTGGGGAGAGGACCGGCTGGTGTGGGGCGTTCTGAGCGCTCGCTTGGCCCGGCGTGTTTGAGGTCAGGCGCCTTCCAAGATGGCTTGAGCAACCGGCTTAGGCCCCGAGGCCCGGCAATCTCAGGCCTTGACCTCACAACGCTTGCAGTGGCACGCAGTGGCACGCAGAGGCCCCAGAAAGCAACAAGTTTGAAGATGATGGGCTGCATGAGCCTGAAGACCTCTCAGGATCAGTGGACATTTGGAATTGCGTTTGAAGTCAGTCCTGCAACATGTGGAGAGCGCGCCACAAATCAAGACTTCTCGGAGTTTCCAGCCACAAAGTGTCAGTGGGAATCTGGGCCAAGACATAATTCGGGATTTGTTTGAGTGTGCATCAATCTTGCTCACATCTAACGTTCACGCTATATCGCTGAACCATACAGTACGATTGAATTGGAGCTTTGTAGTGGTTTATGCGTTAAAGCTTGTGTTAATCGCTGTTCTTTTCGTGGCCGTTGACTCTTCAACCCGATCCTGGTTACAGCGTTGCTAAGTGTTCTTTTTCTCGGCCGCTATGTTGCCATGCGTTTTTAACATCTGTTTGAAGCCAGACGCTTCAGTGATATTCTCTTGGAAGCTCACGCGGTTCGTGCTCTTGAATGTTAGAATGAGGGTTTCCGACCTGCCTGTATGTTCGGCAGTTGTCCGTATGGCTGGGCCAGAAGTCTGAAACAAACACCAGTCAACATGGCGGTTTCTCCACTGGATCCGCCCGGTCAGGACCTAAGCAAAAGCACAGCTTGAGTAATTGCGTCTTTCTTTTGCTCGGCACGCACGTGCACGAATCATGGTGTAGAAACAAATGCACGGAAACCACCATCCCTCATGGCGTCACCTGCAGCAGGACATGTTCATTGATCAGTGCCTCCAGAAGGCGGGCGAGTCGATCAGCCAAGAAGAGAGCCTCGAGGATTATCACCTCCAGTCAGTGTCTGGGGCGAACAAGAGAGGGTCCCAATGCCAATACCACACTGCTTGAGGAAAACAGGGCCAACACTGAGGTAAGTTAGCGTATGTGCAGATTGTTGTATGGCGAAAAAGGTGAAATGTGCGCAGGCATCTAGATACGTTGCACAACTTGCATGGTGGGGCAGTCTTGTTTCACGTACTACACAGGATGTGGACGAATTGGCGAAACAACATACTCTCACTTGTGTTCCTTCAGAGGAACACGACAAGGGGCTGTGTGAGATCACTGTCCTGTGAGCCTCGCTCTTGCCGGAAGCCGTGGAAAGATTTGACAAGTTGCTCCAGCTTTCCAGGGGTGTCCCAGGGTTTTGGTTAAAAGGTAAGCAAGGAGGGCAGAAAGCCTAGCGCGTCTTTCTTACGGCCCTGATTCCAAGGGAATCTTATCCCAGAGTGGCACTGATTTGTAGGTGCCATGGTTTCAGGGTTCTGATCCAATGGGAGTGGCGTAGAGGTATGAGGCATCGGACCCCATGCGGTACGTTTGAAGTTCTGAAAATTGCAAGGGGAAAATGGCGGGTCTGCAATTTACCATGTCAATGTGAGGCTTACTACAACCCCGGTTTATTGGGATGGTCCCAAGCCAAAGCTGATAGCGGAAGTGTGTAGGGATGTTTAACAGGTGCTTGCAAGCTTTATCTTGGGTGCATCTTTCTTGGATGTTAGGACTTTTAACTTTTTTGCCAACTAATGGGTTTTCCATTAAACCACGAAAAGTTAAACTTTTAGCAGGGGAGCAGAAAGCAACCGAGTTATGTGAAGACGATTGTTTGGACGCATGGCGTTGTGGAATCCGATTCTGGTGCAGGTGCTCAAAGTCAAGCGCGTGAACGATTGGACGGGGTGGGTGGGTGGGTGGCGGGAGGTGTGAACATGGTTTGGCTCAAAGGGGTCAAGACCACAATTCAACATAGCAGGATGGGCTAGCAAAGAATCAGATTCAGCTGATTCTGAGAGGGGGTTTTCTATGCTATCATTGCTTCTCCCTTGAAATCTGGTGATTGTTCGTTTGCCCGCTGCCCTGCAGCAAGTTGGTTCCGGCTGTTCCGAGTTGCTAGCATCGGCCATTGGAGAAGGAACTGCTTGGGTGTGCCTTGGAACAGAGGCTTCCAAGCGGAATCTGCAAAGGGGGAAATCAACCGTTGCAGGTCAGCAGTTCATTCCCTTTCATCCCTTGTGATTGCAATTCATGTGATACCACGGCACTTGCAGCCCACAGCAGCATCTTTAGTCGTTTACAGACAACCAAGAAGCTTCAGTCCAGCCTTGCCAACTGGTGAATCTTCAGGCCGAATGGGTCACTGGGGGAGTCTTCAGGGCGACTAGGTCAATGGGGGAACCAACACACAGCACCCTATGGAGGCCCCTATTGACTCCAATGAATGAGCAGTGATGTTGTCGATACTTGGCCTTTTGGCCGCAGCCCAAAACCGGTGTGGCCAGCCGCAAGGAATTTGATCAGCGAAGCACACTGCGACTCTCCGGCCGGCGCCCTTGGGGCTGGGTAGGGACGACAGTGACCTGCCGGGCGCAAGAAATTGGATCAAGTGTCTCCGATTTGGATGAGTGCTTTGTTGAGCATGTGCTAGAGCCCCTGGTTGCTGGGTTCTCCAACTTTGGACGGATGTTTGTTTGCATCGAGGATTGGCCAGAATGCCGCAACGGTCGCGTCACCTTCCACCCCTTCAAGGAGACTCCAGAGCAGCCTGCGTTGCGGACCGGAAGCCACGGGGTATTTGTGGCTCCGTGTCAAACCCGGGGACCCTGGCACCCCCAAATTATCAAAGGGCACTTGCCTAGTTTGGAGGCAGCCGGTGCAACCATTTTTGGGGTCAGAAAGAGGTGCGGTGCTATTGGATTTGCTTGTGCAACGGTCGAACTTCCCGCTTGGTGGATTCGGTTGTTTGACCTTGGCATCCCAGAGCAGGACCTAGTCTCGTACAAGCAGCCGGGAGCTTAACATGCACGCGCGTTGTTGCGCGAGGGCACGAATTTGCAGGTGACTCAATGTGAAGCAGCCACTATAACTATAATTATTATTATTATTATTATATATATATATATGTGTATACACATAGTATATATATATATAGTCATCCGTTCCCCCATTTGTGGCATAGCCTAGCTCCTGATGAAATTGCACATACTCCGCTGCAACTTTGCATGCATGAACGCTGTCGGTCTCCCCATGATCCTGTGTTCCCAAGCATTATGTATGTTTCAGGTCTTCGGTACGGCAGCATTTCCTCGACAAATCCTTGCCAGGTGTTCGCATTTTGTGCAAGGGGCTAAGGGGCTCCACTATCCTTGCGAAACGAGTCTTTAGGACACATCACGCTGCCAATCTCAAGCGGGTTTGGGTGCTGAGCTGCTTGCAACGAAGTTCTCATCCTTATCTTCTCCACCCACTGATTTTGCGGGGTGTATCTCCAGTGTCTTGAAGCATGAATGCTGTCTACAGCGCAACGCTAGCCCATGCAATCGGGGTTCGTCCAGCAGGCATCAGCTTAGCATGCCTGGTCTTCGGAGCCTTGCTTTTGACTATCAACAGCTTGTGCCTTTTGCAAGTTCTGGCCCAGATGGATCCAAGTACCTGGTTTACCAACATCAACTTGGTAGAGCCCAGGCATCGAATCCAGCGGTCAGTCGCTCCGAGGTGCCTTGCCAATGCCGACGCCACCATGTGGGACGCCGGCGGCCAGGTCTGAGTGCCTTTTGCGCGCCGCGCGCAGTTTCGCGGTGCTGCGCCCAACGGGCGCGCTTGGATGCCAAAAGGCCCAAGAGGTTGCAGTGAGTCGACCTCCAAGCTGATCACAAAAGATGGCTGTGGGTCAAAATGATGTACCCAAAATGGAACCCTGCCAAAACCAAGCACTAACGCCTGCGGTCCCCTGGTGGTGAAAATTTTTGACCCATACCCAGATGGCAGAGGTGTTTTTTTTCCCCGCAGCCTGGGAAGGAGCTGCTCCCCCAAGCCTAGCACGGGGATGGTAGATGAGGTCGTGCATATTCGAAGGCAGACTCATCCGATCATTGATTGCGGTGTTTGCCGCGAAGGACCTTCGCAAGTTGGCATTGTAATGGCGTTAGATGCTTGCAGATGGACAGATGCTTTGCACAGGGACATGTTTTGCACAGGCATGCCGTTCTCACAAAGTTGCACAAGGGCCTCCCTTCACATTGTTCACAAAAGTTATCTGGGTATAGCAGCAGAGACGGAGAGAGAGGCATAGCATCCCAAAGTGGATACGCCTTGAATACGGAGAGGTTGTCAAAACAGCGGTCAGCTTTTGATTCATGGTCAGAGCAGCGCACAAGAAAATACGGCACAGGCCCAGAAAAGGCGCAGGCCACATGTCTTTTCGCCACCCCTATGTGTCATGCGGCTGAGGAAATGCCTCAGGTTTTGCTTGAAGAGCCATTTGTTACCTCACAGGCAACGTCCAAGTCGGACAAGTCCATGAAGGACCGCTTGCGGTCGTGAGGATTTGGCAATGAGCGCATGAGCTTGGCCCTGAAAGCAACAAGGCTTGGATGGCTGGTGCCCCCAGCCCGGCTCTTTCTTTCCATATCAGGCCACCATGCTGAATGGTTTACCTTTGCATGTGGCGCTGTGCCGGGAAAGGACCGGGTCAACGAAAATCAGCAGATGAGGAGGCGGGATTGTCCACAACTCGCATAGTACTGTGGAGTTCAAAAGAGTAAATGGCTCCTTGGCTCGTAAGGATGTGTTGCACGTTGGATGGCCTCCTGAAACTTCCAAAAATATGTCTAGGATCTGCACAGACATGTTTTCGCAATGTGCGTGTTCAACCACCTAAAGCGGCTTCTGGGTCCTCGACCTCCAACAGGGTCCTTGTACAGTACTACACCTTGTTCGCCCCACTCCAAACAAAACAAAGCGGTAATTCATTCTATGGCCTCATTCTTGCCAGCTTCGCCGCACTGCCTGGCTTTCCCGGTTCGGGGCAAAACCAATCGTGTTGAAAGCCAATCAACCGCCCCCGCCCCCCCCCCCCACCCCCCAAAAAAAGAACAAAAGGACCATCCCCAGCTCTGCCAATCAACCGGAAAAGGAGTTAGGGGCCCCCCGCCCACGCCGAGGCGCCTGGAGCAAGAGCTCAGGGAGACCTGCAACCAGCCCGGTGGCCCAGGGCTTTCGTCGCATGGGGTGAAACCACGGAAGGCGGGGAGAGCTTCGGAGTGATTGTTTGGGATTTGATCAATATGGGTGTGGCTCAAAACTAAACAGGAGGGGTTACGCAGGTTTTGGTCCATGTTTCCACTTACCAGGGTTCCATTTTGGTACTGGCTTTTTGAGCCACTTCCATATGTGTCCTGGCCCCCAAAAAACCATGGGACGCTTTCCCATGTCAAGAAAGAGATAAGAGGTGAAAGGAAAGGAATACATAGAAATGGAGACGTGTGGACGAATAAAAACCATGTAATTCCTCTTTTAAACATCCTATTGTGCCTTCGTAAACTTCCAAGTTTTTATCAACTCGATGTCCCTTCATCAGTTATTTCTTTTTGCTCGTTAGCTCACTCGTAAAGGCGAGTCCAGATGAGAGAAGACGACATGAAGAGGCAAATTGGGACCGTATATGATTCATCCCTCACATACGTTTCCCACCCAAGAATTGTCATGTGTTTCCTTTCTTTAGATCTCCCATCAAGTGTCTTTCATATGAAAGTCATCATGCGAAGATGAATCATGTTTATATAGCTATGGAGAGAGATAAAGAAAGAGACACACAATAGAGGCATGTTAAAGATAAGATATAGAAAGATGGCTAGTGGACAGGGGTTCTTGGTTATCAGCTGCGAGCCAGTCCCTGGTGGCTCTTTGCCGAGGATCAACATGACCAAGGGCACCATCCAAGACACAAAGTCGCAGCCCCAGCGGAGGTTTTCGGGTCAGTCGAACTCGTTCTCCAAGATCAAGTAGTTTGGGCAGTCTGGTTGCTCCCACAGCTACTCCCAACCTCTGATAAGCGCCAGCTTGCACTTCCTGAGGCGACTCATCCTCCACCATTCGAAGCCAACCATATGGGGGTGTCTTTTTCTTGAGGGCACCTTTCTTGGCGTGAAAGGACAACCGGCCATTTTCCCCCAAACCGAGACGACATCCATATTATGGCCATGAATTTTAGCAGGAAACTACTTCAAAAGTGATTGGTGGACATGAATCCCCGCCTAAATGATGTCCATCAAAGGGATCCTTATTAAAACTCATACCCATATTGCCATCCGATGCGCTCCAGGTCGCAGATCCGCTCCTTGGAGGAGCCCATGGAGTTGACCTCGACCTGCGCCTCGTGGCCGGGCTTCCAAGCGAGATGGGCCAACGCATCTGCCAAGCAACCTGGTTGCTGGGGGTATTTGAGTCTGAAGTATCTAAGCCTTCAAGCAAGAAGCACCATTTTTTGGAAGTTGTTCAGCAAAAGAGAGTTGTTTGGAACAAGGTTGTTTGTGCGGAAATTTGTAAGGCAGCCTTGCTCATCTAAGATTTCCGGATTATTCCGTTCTTTTCCGCTTGTTTCTGTCTTTGTTGTGGGCGTGTCCGCCTTTGTTTGGCCGTCCAAGACGCACTCTGCCCACGCAACTCCCGGCAATAAATGTCAACCAACATCAGGAAAAATGCCGTCTCGCCAAAGCACGTGTTTTTTTCTCGAAAGTCACAGGGACATCGTGTTCGTTGAGACAGGTGCAAACGTACAGCGAAAGACCATCGTCGCGAGGCGCAAGCAGCGGGCTACCAAAGAGCACATCCACGACCCCGTGACAACCACGCAGGGGCCCGAGCGGGGTGGGCCAGTGGAGTGGAGGTCAGCCAAGTGGCCATTCGCCCAATTCCACGCTTTGGCCATGGCCATATTTCAATTGACACTGGGTGCTGGGTTCCGGGCGTACCTCGAAAGGTTTGGCTCGGGTGGTTTTCAATGGAGCGAGTGCTCAGATGCTTCATGCCCACTTTCAACCGGGGGGCCCAACCCCTCCGATGTTTGGGCCCCAAATGCCGCGCAGCTCGGCCGTTTGCCGGTCGGCGTGCCTCCGAGGATTCAGGAGCACCAGATGACGCTCCTCCGGTGCCACGAGGCTTCTGGCCGCTCCCACACGCAGAGTATGATATTTGATCTGTGTCAGATACTGCTCAGTGTTTTTTGAAAGGAATCCAACAGGTTGGATCCTACACCGAAGTCCCCAGTGATGTGACATGCTCTGGATTGCACAGAGGGCATTTTCCGGTCATGGCCGACTGTGCCGGTGCGACTTGGGGGCACAACGAAATATCAGGTTGGTGGACAGATCCCCTCCTGGGGGAAAATCGTGTGATCCTCCTTCAGATGACTGATACGCTTGTGACATCGGGTTTCTTATCCCCTGTGCAGGATTTGCGGCAACACCATCAGAACGAGAAGACGATTTTGCAAGAGCTGCAAGAGAAGAAGGAGAGAAAAGCTTCGTTGCGGTTCTAATTGAGGGTGTGGAGGGGCCTAGGCCACGGAGACTCCAAGATTGCGTAGGGCGCTTTGCGGCGGCTCTCTCATGAGCTGGCTGCATCCATATTGTCAGGAGCAGCTGAAGGAAGATCTCCGCGATAAGCGCGGGCCTTGGAGCCAGGGTTGAAGCTTGAGGGAGTGGCTGGTGCCGCAGGCTCCCCTCTTGTTAGGCTGGGTAAACACTAGAAGCTGTCTCTCAGGACAGCTGCTCTTCACATCGACCTCAACTGCCTCACGCATGAGGCGCGGCGCGCTCCGCAATGTTGCGCGTGGGAAACGAACGCTGCGACGCTGAGGCGACATGTCTGAACGGCAAGCCAAGCCCGGTGCGGCGCTCGGGGAATGAGGCATTCGCTTGCTGCCTGCCTCTCTGGTGAGACTTACTTAGACTTAGAAACATGCCTTTCGTTTGCACTTGCGAACTTGGTCTCAAGCCTTTACACCACCTTGAATAATAAATGCTGTTCACGCACGGTTCAGGAAAATGTATTGAACATCAAAAGAGGGTGCTAAATCCCCCTTTCCCCCCAACCCCACCACCCCAGATCCCAGATCTTCCAGATCCCCATCCCAAATTCCCGAGGCCATCAGCCGGCAGCGGCTTCCCAAGGCCATGAAGGCAGGGCGCGCTCAGCGACATCTGAAGTTTTTGGCTTCGAAGGGTGGGTGGTTGATGTGCGTGGGAACTTCAAAAGGGATCTTTGGTGCACATCATTTAGGTGGGATTTTGTTCCTGCACCAATCACTTGTGAGGTGGTTCCCGATTCAAATTCATAGCCATGTGTCCTCTCGCCCCATTTTAGTTCACCCTGCGGAGTGCATGGAAAGGACATCCTGATGTTTGCGCAGGGAAATCGAGGCTTCGCCCATTCATGTGTGAGGGCAAGTGTCGAAAAATACAGGAAAGCAAGCTTCACTTAGCTGGGGCGTGCCGTGTTTGTTAGCTCGTACTCCAGGCTGCTTTGAGACAGCATATGTTTTTTTTGTTGTTGTGAGTTGTTTTTGATGGTTGCACTTGATGGCTTAAGCTTGTCTGCGGGCAGATGTCAAGCATCAATGTCGACCTCGGGCCAGTCATGCTGTTGCACTCGATGCGGTTGACGCCTTGCACGATGCAAGTACACCGACTGCAAGCCAATTGAGATGGAACCTGACAGGGGTCCCTTTAAAGGAATATGGTCTTCCAGGACCCCCCCGTCAGGTTCCATGTTAATTGGTGGGAGGGTAACTCAATTAAGCATGCATATTTCTCGACTTAAATGCTTCGATCTTCGACAGTAGCTTCCCTGGCCCAGGTTGATCCCACCTTCGTTCCAAATCCAGGCCACACCATGATTGCCCGGGGCCACGGAAACAGCGGAGTAGAGCTGACCGGTTGCACAGCGGATCCACCCGTGATTCTGCAGCGGCTCATTCCTCATGCATCAATAGAACAATGCCTCTTCAACCAACCTCATGTCGCGAAATGCCGACCCTAATCCATGTTTGCTGCTGCGGATTTTCTCACGTTGCTTTTTTTGGGCAGAGGTTGCATCCGAATGTTGGCCACGACTTTGATTCTTGTAAACCCCGGTCATCCAAGTTGGCGGAAGAGTAGAGTGCCCGAAAAGAATGTGCAGGTTGCGGTTAGCAATGGTTAACAATAACTCCACCGACTTTCGGTCTACTTTCGGCTGGTGGAATGAATTTTAGCAGGCCCATTTGATACATGAAAGATGTTTGCGTGCAGTTCAGTTTGCCAACCTTCCATGAAGGAGGCTTTTGCAGAAGTGCTCTATGGGATGAATGTAATGTCGTTTAATTGTCTGCCATTTCTTGGCGCATGTGGCCTCAACAACCCAGAAACACCTTAAAAGCAAACAGGGGTAGGAACCGGCAAAATAGTCTTTCAGAAAGTACTGTTCAGTAATGTTAGTTGCTTTAGTACTGCTTTAGTTCTTCTTTATGCTGGACCAATGCTTTTTAGAATTGGTGCTGCTTTGGTTTAGACCCGCTGATTGTTTCAACCCCAAGAGAACTTGTGTATTTGCCTCTATCACTTTCAGGGCCAACATCTTTTTTGGACGGTTTGTACCTGCTAGTGTGCTTATCGCTGGGTTGTTTGCAACCATCGGGTTGCATCTAGCTACACCAAGGGTTGGCTTGTGGGCTGGGGCCTGTGAGGTGCAGATGCCACTCACAGCGCGGTGAAGTGGGCAGGACATGGGGAGGGAAGTCATGTGCTTCGGCCCGGCTTGGAGACGCCTTACGTACCAAGCACGAAGTCGGCAATCTGTTGCAACAGGGCCTGTTTTTTGAAAGTATGTGGGGAGAGGGGGACTAAGTGGCAGCTGCCCCAGCTGAAAGGGTCACATCTCGATTCACAGCGCGATTCAGAGCCTAGGAACGTGTAGGGCTGACCGACCCGGCTGCCAGGAGAAGACAACACCCTGATGAGTGGGATGTGTCGGGTTCAGTTGGAACCTTTTGCAGCTTTCCGTGGCATTTGAGCGAGTGGCAAGGGGACAAGAATCCACAGAAACCGAGGACTAGGTGGTCCTCGTTGTTCCTATCCCTCGCATCAAACGCCAGGAGGCAGACCTTGGATAGAAGCTCAGCAAGAGGTAACCTCTGTCTGAGCGAAAGAGCGTGAGTGCTTCTGAGCAAAACCTGAGTGAATTCAGCGATTTCGGTCATGTAACATCAAATGTTCTCAAGCCATTCTCATGCTCTTGCGAACAGGAGCTGAAACTAGCATTAGAACGGGTATGCTGCGAGCCATGCTGTGGATTTTGTGCAAGTTACGTGTTCGGCCTTCATTCTGGGGCGAGTGTTGTTGCATGTTTGCCCTCACAGCCCACCACGGCAACGCTCAGTTCATTCCCGTCAAGTTTCACACATGTTTTGGTTCGATTAGTTTTGGGGAAGGAAGCTCTTGCGATCCCCTAATTGGTCATTTGTGTGTTTCTGTTGTCCCAGGGTCGTTCTCGCAATCGCAGGGGCTTCAGGATCTCGATGGATCCGGCGAGCAGGCAGACAGCCCAACGAATCCACTTGGAAGCCGGCATTGAATTTTTGTCTCTCTGCTTGGAAGGCTGTCGGCCTCGGTTTTCGAGAGTGCCTGCTGCTGGGCGCCTAGGGCCACCGCCTCCTTTCTTGGATGCAAGAAAGGTCTGGCAGGCTGGACAGCGCGACAACGGCCGGATCTTCCACGCCGCCCTTTTCTCCCAGCAGGATTCTTGGGCGGCTCAAGCTGGGGCCGAGGCAAAGTGCTGTAGGTCACAGCTGGTTGAGATAGATTTGGAATACGCATGCCTGAGGCATGAGAACAAATATCAGATCAATATGTATGCTGCCATGCTGCAATATTATCGCATAAATTGGTTGAAGGTTTTTTTTTTTTTTTCATTGGAGATATGAAACAACTACTATTGTTTTTTTCAATGCTCCGCGTGCGCACTGGCCTCATATGTCCGTTGCGCGGGATGGATGGACGGTTGTGATGGATGGATGGATGGACGAATGGACGGACGGACGGACGGATCTGGATTGGTAAATGGCTGGGATGGATGGAAAATGGAAGAATGATTGGAAAGATGAATGAAAAAATAGATGGAGAAAGAATATTAGAAGTTATTTGATGCAAATTGTATTTTATTAATTGATAATTGCACAAATATATATGTTTTTTAAGAAATTGGTACGATTTCGAGGTTGTATTTGTCGTGTATTGTTATTATGGTATTTCGGTTGAATTATAATGTTTATGATGATTGGTTATTTTTATTTTATTTTATTATTTGTTTTTTATATTTTTTTTCCTCTTTTTTTTTATGTTTTTTTTTTTGGCACGATTTGGAAGATTTTAATAATTTGTCGAAATTTCGGCGGTTTTTAATAATTTTGCTTAGAATTTTTATGGCGTAGTTCGATTTTGATTTTTTTTTTTTTTTTATGGTTATTATTTTTGTGTATTTGTGTTTGTTTATTTGATAATATTTATTTATAGTTGTGTATATTAATTATATTTGTTTTTATGGATTGGTTCACAAAAATGATATATTTCTACGTTGTTGTATATTATGTTTCTTTTGTTTAAAATTTCATTTGTTTTTATTTGGTTATTTTTATTATTGTTTTGATTTATATATATATTTTATATATATTTTTTTTTGGGAGAAAAATATGGCATTTTTTTTTTCTCTTTCTCCTTGGTGCTTTTCATTTTGTTTCTCTTTCTTTTTGTTTTCTCTTTCTTTTTTTCATTTTGTTTTTTTATTTCTTTCTTGTTCTTTCTCTTTCTCTTTCTTTTTTTTGTCTTTCTTTTTTGTTTTTTTTTGTATTTTGGTTTTTGTAATTTTTCTTTATTTTTCTAATTATGTTTTTTTCCTTTCTATTTTATTTTTATGTGTTTCTTGTTTACTTGTTTTTTGTTGTTTTTTTTCTCCTTTATCTTGTTTTTTTCCCTCATTGATTTTATTATTGGTATTGCCGTTTATTATATATGGCTTATATTACAAAAAATATATATTTATATATATATATATAAATAAATAATAAATATAATATAGAATTTATAATATAAATATATAAATATTTTAATTTATATATAAATTATTTAATTTAATTTAGAAATACTATAAAATCGATATATTAATTTTTAATTTGGATATTAAATATTAAATAATCGATAAATATATTATAAATAAATATATATTAATTAATATATTAATACTTACACATATATAAAACATATTCTATAAATTATATAAATATAAATAGGTTTTTGCTAAATTTAAAATAATATAAATTCAAACAATATTATATATATATATATGTTAGTTTTAATTTATTATAAATTATTATTCTGAATTTATTTTATTTTAATTTTATATTCATAATCGAATTATTTATATAATTATATTAATTAATTTAATTAATTTAATTAACTTCTATATTTCTCCTATTTTATTTCGTTGTTTTTGTATATATAATTTATTATAACAAAATTAATTAAACCAATTAATTCATTATTTTCTAAATATAATTCAATATATAAATTTAACATATATACATAATATATATAATTATTTAAACATATATATTCAATTTAATTTTCTAAATAATTCAATATAATTAAATAAATAATATGATTTATTAAATTATTTTACATTCAAAAAACAAATTCATAAACTCATATTTTTATTTTGATTTAGCTCATTAATATCTGAAATCTCAATATTCAAAATATATATAACCTATAATATGCCATAATATCTATATAAAAATTATATTCTATAGTTAAATAAAATTTATAAATATTATAATATTCCCGAAAGCATCGCGAAGGGTTCTTCCGTGCGGAGCCCTTGGACAAATTACACAGAGCCAAGTTGCACAGAGCCAAATTACATAGAACCAAGTTACGTAGAGCCAAATTATATAGAGCCAAGTTATATAGAGCCAAGTTATATAGAGCTAAGCCACATAGAGCCAAGTTACATAGAGCCAAAAACACATAGAGCTAAGTTATATAGAGCTAAATTATATAGAGCTAAGTTACATAGAGTCAAGTTACATAAAGCCAAGTAAAATTATATAGAGCCAAGTTACATAAAGCCAAATTACATAGAGCTAAGTTAGAGCCAAGTTACATAGAACCAAGTGGAACAGAGCCAAGTGACACAGAGCCAGGTGGCACAGAGCCAAGATTAGGTAGAGCTTGCGTAGAGCTTTGGCGTAAGCAATTATATAACTTAGTTTAAGTTTCTAAGGCGCCGGGGTGCCCTCTGCGGAGATTCGCGTGGTCGAGGTTAAAAAATTGAGGATTTTTTTACGATTTCTGCGGTCTGCGCGACCCTCTACGAAGATTCGTGTGGTCGAAGTTAAAAAACTGAGGATTTTTTATGCTTTCTGCGGCGCGCGCGCGACCCTCTGCGGAGATTCGCATGGTCGAGGTTCAAAAACTCAGGATTTTTTACAATTTCTGCGGTGCGCGCGCGACCCTCTGCGGAGATTCGCGTGGTCGAGGTTCAAAAATTGAGGATTTTTTACGATTTCTGCGGTGCGCGCACGACCCTCTGCGGAGATTCGCGTGGTCGAGGTTAAAAAATTGAGGATTTTTTTTCGATTTCTGCGGTCTGCACGACCCTCTACGAAGATTCGTGTGGTCGAAGTTAAAAAACTGAGGATTTTTTATGCTTTCTGCGGTCCGCGCGCGACCCTCTGCGGAGATTAACGTGGTCGAGGTTCAAAAATTGAGGATTTTTTACGATTTCTGCGGTCCGCGCGCGACCCTTTGCGGAGATCGTGCGCGTCGAAGGGCTCTCGCTGTGGCGCCGTACGAATTTGTCTCAGTCTCGACGAGCCTTTTACGGAGATTGTGAGTGTCGAAGCGCTCTCGTTGTGGCGCCGTGCTTTTTTCTTGCTCGTGAAACGGCCTTTGAAGTTGTCTCGTGGTTTGCGCGCCTGTTTTCGCAATCCCGCGATTACGGGTTCGATTCCCCCCTAGTCCGCGGCAGCTCCGGCTTGAAAGTCGCAGCTTTTAAGTACAAACGTAATTCGTGGAGCGTGCTCCTGCAGCTCCGGCTAGAAAATCGCAACTTTTAAGTGCAGACGTAGTATGCGGAGCCGCAGCTCAAGCTGGAAAATCGCAATTTTTAAGTACAAACGTAGTATGCGGAGCACACCCCCGCAGCTCCGGCTGGGAAATCGTAACTTTTAAGTACAAAAATAAAACGCGAAGTATATTCCCAGCTCCGGCAGCACTTGCGCAGAGCAACTTGCGCAGAGTCACTTGCGCAGAGCAACTTGCGCAGAGCAACTTGCACAGAGCAACTTGCACAGAGCAATTGCGCAAAACACTTGCGTAGAGCAATTTGCACAGACCAACTTGCGCAGAGCACATATGCAAAGCGCTTGCACGGAGCAACTGGCGCAGAGCACTTGTGCAAAGCAACTTGCTCACGCAGAGCAACTTGCACAGAGCACATGCGCAAAGCGCTTGCACGGAACAACTGGCGCAGAGCAACTTGCACAGACCAACTTGCATAGAGCACACAGAGCATTTGTGTGCAGCAGCTTGCAGAGAGCAACTTGCGCGCAGCAGCCTAGAATAATGCGGCTTGCGCAGACCACTTTCGTGAGAAATCGCGCGACGCAGTTTAAGAGGAAAGTAGGATGATAAAATGAAGCTCTCATAGGACCATACACACTGAGCATGCTGCGCACAAACACGCTCGCCGCAACGATGTAAAAAGATGTCCCCGCAACTAGATGAGCACTTATGGAAAAATGCTTTCGGACCAATTGTCCTCTAGTATAGTTTATTATTTTTCTATTTTTATTTTATTAATTTTCGATTATTAAATCAAAAATATAAATTTATATATCTAAATCATTATTATTATATTCATATTTTTTAATATTAAAGAAAACCCGTTAATTCCATCAATGGCAATATTAATAAAGAAAAAAGGAAGAAAAAATAAAAACATATAGAAAAAACAAAAAAACAATAGAAGAAAAAAGGAAAAATAGAAAAATAATTAAAAAACAAAATAGAAAAAAAAGAAAAAAAGAAAAAGAAAAAAGAGAAACAGAAAAAAGCAAAAGAGAAAAAGAGAGAGAGAGAGAGAGCGAGAGAAAAAGAGAAAAAGATAAAGAGAGAAAAAGA